GACTGGAAGTTGATGAAATCAGACATTTTTGATAATATAAGCAGCGGCAACGCATCTCTTCTCTACCTTTGTCTATGGGGGACAGGGAACTCTTCTCTACCTTTGTCTATGGGAATGGGACATCTCTCTTCTACCTTTGTCTAAGGTAACGAGTACATTGGTAACCATGACATCTGGATGACTGGTTCGTGGTATAATGGTCTCTGGATCCATGCACTATGTGTATTGGATGTGGATTCTAATTTTATGAATGAATTCATGCATGTCATTTCTCTTGTGCTGTTGTTTTGCTTTGCAATTATTATGAGCATTACGTCATCAACAAATTGCATTTCATGTACGAGTTTTCTGTCCAAGCCAATGTCAGAGCACCATTTGTATTCGTCATATGCGCAGACCATGTTCGCTATCGGTGGCCTAGATCCCTTTCCCATGGGAACGCCTTTAATCTGTCACAGTAATGTTCTTTGCTATTTGAAATATGCGTGGTGAATGTCGTAATATAAGAAATCGTTTAATATATCAAATTTCACTGTTTTCCATCCATACGTACCATTCGCTTCAGCATCCATTGTATGGTCCAAACTAGAAACATGTCTTTAACGTCATACGTGGCGCATATCACAGTGGCATCTTGTCCATATGTCAGTGTCGTCGTTTCATTGCATTCTTTTAGTTTTGGAACAAGTTGATTTGTACCCTGTAGATTAAAGCCCAACTGCCAGTTTATGTCGCATGCCATTTACAGGACGTGTATTCTGTGAAATTAAAGCCTCGCACGTGTTGTCCAATATTGCAAGTGTGTATATCTCTCTCTCTCATCTCTTCTCTGTCTGTCTGTCTGTCTGTCTGCCCCCCACCCACTAATAGACTGGCATTTGCCAAATTCTCTCCTTAACTGCTTTCCTAGCAACACGTATGATTCTCAACTTAGCCATAGTTACTGGTGAATTCCTCCTCCTATCACAGACAGGCAGTCAGGCACATTTGGTCAGACATGCCCCGGGCCCCGGCCAAATAGTGCCACTCCAATAAGGCGTTTCTGTGTGTGGTGGTGTTGCATAGCAAGCTTCCATGCTGTGGGTTTCGTGAAGCACGCACTTTATTACTAAGGAGTCAGGACCTACTGTCTTCCGGCAAATAGTGTTTTTGTTTACAATTATATTGCTGATCAATAATACTGTTACCACTGCTGATCTGTTTTATTATTATAATCTAAGTTATTATCGAACCGAGTGTGTTGCAGTCAATCTGAGTCATCCTGAGTCAGATCGTGGTATATCAGTGTTCCGCTGTGCTATCATTTAAAAGGGCCTTTACCCGATATAGGCCTCAGGCCTTGTAAAAATAAAGCAGCACGGGCCTTGAAAAAGTAAAGCATTGTGAAAAGGTATCTCGTCAGAGCTCAG